TGTGTCTCACATTTATTATAGAGAGAACACATCCATCTGCTGGCTCACTCCCAGAATGACAGCAACAGCCGAGCCAGGCTGAAGTCAGGTGTCAGGAACTCAAGCTGGATCTCCTCTGAAAATCTTAGGGACCTGAGTATTTGACCTGTCACTGTTCCCACACAAGGTGCACGTAATGTGGAAGCTGTAATTGAAAGTGGAGCTGTGACTCACCTCAGGTGCTCCCATATGTGATGTGGGTGTCCCAGGCAGTGTCTTAACTGCTATATCACATGTCTACCACCTAGCTTGACATTTCTTACCCAAGTCTAAACTACCATCTCTCCAGCCTCATTTTCTTTTTCCTCCCCACAATACCTCTATTTCTGTAAGAAGTGCCAGTCACAAAACAGTATACCTTATTAAGATAGAATGCTATGTCTTCTCTACTGGTTTCCAATTTCATGATTGCTAAGTGAGATGTCAAGTGTTCATAGTATCATCCAAGTGAGCTTCATGGTTACTTGTAGTTGACTTACTAGGGAAGCAAGTAATCACTTGCGTGGCACGTCCCCTAATATGAATCTGCTGTCTGGACTTTTATTATAATAATACACAAAGCAACTTCAATAAGTGCATGGAAAATGAAATTAAAGTATGGCTATATTGGTACCCAGCATTCTGGAATCAGGGAGTCTTCAAAAATTGCATTTATATATATATGTATATATATATATAAATAAATCTTTTTTATTGGAAAGTCAGATATACAGAGAGGAAGATCCTCCGTCCGCTGATTCACTCCCCAAGTGGCTGCAATGGCCAGAGCTGAACTAATTTGAAGCCAGGAGTCAGGAGCTTCTTTCGGGTATCACGTGGGTGCAGAGTCCCAAGAATTTGGGCTGCCCTTGACTGCTTTTCCCAGGCCACAAGCAGCACAAACAGGCAGCTGGATGGGAAGTGGGACTGCCAGGATAGAAACCGGTGTCCATGTGGGATTCTGGTGCATGCAAGGCGAGGCCTTTACCTGCTAGGCTACCACGCAAGGACCCCTAGCATGTGTTCTAATGTTTTAGTCTTTTTGTTGTTGTTAACTGATTGAAACTCATCTTTAAAGCCCTGAGCTTTATCAGTTGTAAAGAATGGTGTGTCATTTCCTCAGTGCTGAATAGTCTTGTGAAAAATACGCAAGAACTGACCTCATGTGCTCATAGTTGATAGTTGAGAGAAGATAAGTTTCTTTGGCTCGTAGATGTTTCTGCATCTGTGGAAATAGCTCTTGTTACTTGGATGGTCATTCCAGGGCCGTCATGAGACCCACCAGCTTTCTCAGGCCCTTTCTTAAAGAATGGATGATGCCAATTGGAGCTGACAGGCAACACTGATTACCTGTGAAGGGCCTAGGAGATTACTTCTGGGAAACGGGTCATTTATGTACCGGAACAAAGGGATGCTATTCAGGAGTTCAGTCTCTGTTAAATTTCCAGTCCCAGGAGACATCTCCTTAATGGCATCAGGAAGAACTTTCCAGTAGTGAGGTGACTACTACCAAAATGGCCATGTAGAAGCGTCAGTGACAGCATTGACTTCTGTCGATGTTTCTTTTTCTTAATAGAAGTAGAATTGAAGAAAACAAATATGTAGAAACCCAGCAGTTTGTTAGATCATATTTAATGATCCAGTGTGTTGTTTCCTGGTGTCTTTGACTTAGGGGGTCTTTTGTCTGATTGGTATCCATGCACACAGTGTCAGGAAACACATCAGTAGTGAAATGATGGACTTATGACTGCTGATTAAGGACCACCCATTGTAATACTAGAGGGGAAATAATTAAGAGAGAGTGGTCTTTTGCAGGGAGGACAGGAAATCCCACAGCCTATGGAATTGTATCATAAAACAATTTTAAAAAAATGACCCAGCGGTAGGTATTTGGGGCAGTGGTTAAATCAACTCTTGGCTTATCTGTTTCCCATGTCAGAGTGCTGGGTGGGAACCCAGCTCCACTATGTATTCCAGTGTTGTTACTAATATGTGCCCTGGCAATGGTAGCTGATGGCTCCCGTGGCTGGGCTCTTGCCACCGGTGTGGGAGAACCAGACTGAGTCCTGAGCTCCAGACTTCTTGCCCTGCCTTGCCATGGCTATTGCAGGCATGTGGGGAGTGAACCACATCTGTTGCATCTGTGTATGCCTGTGCTAAATGTATATGCTTAACATAAGCTGCTCCATTCAATAATATCTCTGCAAGTGAAACTTGAATCTTTTATATCTGGGATGTGTTACACCATGTGGTGTAAACTGGCCAACGTCGCCTTTCAGATCAGTGAGCTAGAGGTGACAGGTGATTTCAATGTGTGGGAATTTGGAGTCATGCCCCCCTTGAGTGACACACAGGAGAATACCTGGAGTTGCTGGTTAGGTGCCTGTCTCCTAGGTCTTCCCATGAGGTTTGTGGCTTAAATTCATCATTGAAACACTAACTAGTTTTCTTCTCTGTAAACTGGCGTCATCATAGTAATCCTTCCTCGGGTTTCATGCTGAGTGTCAGAGCACATTTTTTGCTGAAATATAGATGTACTTTCATGGCCTTAGTGCTCAAGAGCCAAAAGTTTAAGTGGAATGGGGAAGACATTGGCAAGGACTGTATCTGGCCCCATGACAGAGGGCGTGGGGCTGGGGGAGCATGACCATGAGGCTGGGCAAGGTCATGGGAGTGGCGTGTGGGCGTGAGGGCAAGCTTGCTTCCAGGGAAGACTGGGTGTTGGTTGTTCAATGCTCCCTGAGGAACATCCTGTAGACCTGTGAGGCCTTCAGAAGTCATGCTAGGATGGTTTACAGAACTTCTGGAGCCTTGGCTGTAGTCATGGTTGTGATCCAGAAATCTTGATCTGTTCCCATGTTGAATGCTCGTTAGTGTTGGTGTTGAGGAGCAAGCGTTCAGTAGGTTTCTATTTTAGAAACCTCCTTTGTTTCATTTCCTCCGAAAGCAAGCAAAGCTGGTGACAAAATAGAAAAATCACGTGACTAATTGGATGTCTACTGTTTGTTCACCATTGGAAAGCAGGCCATAAACAAGAATATCTCCTTTTTTCTGGTTTAACTGAAGAGTTGAACAAGCTTGTAAAAATGTGTTATTAGTGCTAGTTACTTACTAGTTAGTTACTTAGTGTTTGATAATGATATATTATCCAAATGTCATTTAGTTTTATCATTAAAATATTCATTCAGCCAAATTTTGTGAGCCTTACTCTGTAACAGGAATGTGGCTGGATCCAAAAGTCAGAATGGGAGCAGAAGTTGAATGACAGGAGCAGGTCTGCGGCCTGTGAGGGTGCCCTCGGAGGGCCAGCCCGCAGTGCTGCTGAAAGTGAAGGGGATCTTCTTTAGGACACAGGTGGTGATCCAGTAGCTCTGGTGGAGCTTCAGATGAGTAGCGAGGGTTTAGAAGAGAATCGTCAAGCAGCTATGAATTTCCTGGACAGAAAGAGGGTGTGGATGAAAAGGATACCAGTGGAGTAGTGCTGAGGAGCATACACAGGACAGTAACACAGCCCAGCGAAAAACAAATGAAGGCTATGCAAGTGTGTATGTGTGTGCATTCGTGCATGTGTTTGGGAGTTGGAGCAGGGCATGACACAGCGGAATTATCCTTACGATGGCTGTTGAAGACATTAGATATGAAGAGGAGCAGTGTGTAATATGGCTGATATCAGAGGTAGCCCTAGGCTGCCTAGTGCAGTGTACACACTGATGTGAAAGGACAGGCTGCAGCCGCTGAGAGCCATGCTGCCGCTGACTGCAGTGGACAGACCGAGACATGTGCGCCTTTTCCCTCTTTCCAGATGGGATTTGTACAGGTGGAGTCATCATAGGACAGAGCCAGGAGTGCTGGGGTCCAGCCGCAGCTTGTCACTCCCAGTGCCAGTCCAAAAGGCGTACAGTCAAAGGTCCTTGTCACTTGCCGATAGCCCTGAGATGTGTGATGCCAGTAGCACTGAGACATTTGCTGGCTAGTTGTATGTGATCTGGGGAAGGCGAGAAGAGGTATTTTCAGAATGAAAAAAAAGGAGGATGGGAGCTTTAATTAGCATCAGTAGAGAAGGAAGTATCTTCCTAAGGGTAAAAAGCTCAACAAGGAGTTTCAAATGGAGTGTCAGAGTGCCTGGATTGGAGTGGTGGCTTCGATCCTATTGCCGACCCCCTGCTCAAAGGCACCTGACGGGCAACAGGTGATGGTTCAAGTATTTGGGTTCCAGACAACCCATAGGATTTCCCAGTTCTTCACTGCCCAATCCCCCAGCCACAGTGGGCATTTAGAGACTGTACCAGTGGGTAAAAGAGCTCTTACTGTCTCTATCTCTCTGTCTTTCTAATACAAATAGGAAAACAAAGCTTTAAAATGTGAGCGGCAGTGGGATTCAGGAGGAGGCTAGGGGTGCATGTGTGAATTTGGGATTCATCTATGCACAGTGTAGTATTTAAAGGAATTTACATAGAGTCCCTAAGGGGAAAACTCTGAAATGAGTTGTGAAATAGAGTGGCAAATGAAAATTGGAGAGTTTGGGTGGCAGTTGTAAGCATGAGGCTGAAGTGGTGGCAGAGGGTACAGTGCACCTATCTTGTTTTGTGTTTTCTCTGAGTGGACCACTTTGTGCTACAAGAAGGAGTTGGGAATTTGAGCAAAGACAATTTGAGTTTGGCAAGTAACAAAAAAACCAAAGTGAGATTTAAAAAAAAAAAGTATTAGGATAGCACCACCTGGTGTTACGTTTTGGATGTTTTTCAACATTCTCTGATTAAAAAAAAAAAAAATTTTTTTTTTACTAGTTTTTTGTTTCCAGTTTTTCATTTACTTGTGTTTTTGTGTCACACTTGTCATATTCTAATTGCCTCAATTTCTGTGGAGTGCTAGTGTTGCCTTTGAACTCAGTTGTTGGCATAGAAGTTTGAGCTTCGAGACTTGAAGCTCTGACTTTTAAGATGGTGAGCAGTGGAAAACTTTTTTTTCTTTGCTATCCTAAGGAAAACCTACATCCTCGAAGACGGCACAGCCCTCTTGGATGAACTTGCCTAGGCCGCTCCCCAAATCCAAAGCATCGTTGAAGAGCTCAGCGTTGCGGAAGACGGGGAGCACCCATTCGATCGCCAGCTCCCACAGTGAGCTCAGCACATACAGCAGTAACTGTAAGTCCGCCTCGTGCCGAACTCTGGGGCTCGTTGGTACAGCAGGCACAAGTGCGTGCTGTGCCAGAGTTAGTAGCCATTCTGTGTCTGTGCTTAGGGAAATACGTTACTTTCCGGGGAACTGTTCTGAAAGTTTCACAGGAAAAACACATTCTCCCTTGAACAACCAGTGAAACTCTGGGCTGAAGGCACTCAGTATTCTCTTTTTGCATGAAGGATTTTGAACTACATCACCTGGAATGCGGCTGTACTTTGTGAATCCGTGTAATGTGGCTTGTGAATTAGAACTTGAAAAGGAATTGTGAATGATTTATTTTTAAAGATTTTAGTTATTGCAGAGTGATGGAAAGACCTGTTTCACTCCCCAAGTAGCTGAAACCCCAAGCCAGAGCCAAGATCCTCAAACTCCCTCTGGGTCTCCCATGTGGATTGTGCCAGCCTAAGCAATAGGCTGTCTTCTGCTGCCTTCCCAGGCACACGAACAGGAAGCTGGATCAGAAGTACAAATCAGGCTCCAGAATGGGGCTTTGATATGGTTTGCAAGTGGTGGCTTAACGCTGACCATAACACCAGTCTCAAAGATTTCAACTGTTACATTAAAATTATCACTTAAGGCAGATTTGCTTTGTATAAAATTGGGTAGGTTAAAAGAACTGTCCTTCTCATTTAAAAATTGTATTTTGACTAAGTACTTCATGTTTCTCTTGAATGTCCTCCTCAGAAGTACCTGAGTGAATTCAGAGTTACAGGGCAGGAAGCCGCGCGTGGAGGAATAGTGCTCACTCTCAGAAGTAGTAACAATGACCAGAACACCTGATAGACTGGGTACAAGCATGTGGGCAGAAGATGATTGGCTCTGCTACTTAAAGGTCAGAAGAAGGACCCATCATGATAGCCTAGTGGTTAAAGTCCTCGCCTTGCAAGTGCCAGGATCCCATATGGGTGCCAGTCTGTATCCCAGCTGCTCCACTCCCCATCCAGCTCACTGCATGTGGCCTGGGAAAGCAGTCAAGGATGGCCCAAAGCCATCCTTGGGACCCTGCACCCACGTGGGTGACCCAGAAGAGGCTCCTGACTCCTAGCATTGTCTCAGCTAAGTTCTGGTCATTATAACAGATGGAAGGTCTTTCTCTCTGTAAAAGCAAACGAACAAAAATCTGCTTTTCCAATAAAAATAAATCAATTTTTAAAAAATAAAAGGTCAGAAACATTCCTCTCTGGTTAGGGCTTAAGTGCTCCGGTGACCCCGATTTCACTTGCGGAGTTAGGCTCAGAGATGCTGTCGCTCCCTCCAAGTCACACAGCAAGTACAGGACAGAATTGCGTATGGAGGACAGGCATTGGGTGAATGCTGAATTAACGAGCACACATGTCTGACATGTCATTTGCAAGCAGCAGCTAGTTTCTGATGGTAAGACCTGCATACGGGCACACTAGCAATATATTATTTAAATGGGATTATTTATTGTTAGTGTTGGAATTTGAAAGTTGTGCTAACATCAGAAGGATTTGAATGTAGCAGTTCTCTGAATTTGCATGAGAAATCTACACGTGTGTATTTACAGTTATTTCTCTTCTGACTTTCTGTTTTGCAATGTGCATTTAAAAAGTGAAGTGCCAGAAACAGACTCCCCAGTGTGCTCTCCAGGGACTGCCCTGGCTGTGGACTCTGACACTTGGAACAGACACATTTTCTGGTGCTTTTGCGACCCAGTGTTTTCTGTCGACAGCCATGTTAACATGACCACCGTTTCACTGCTGTGTCTGACACCCCGAAAGAGATTGTAAAATGCTTTTGTTCGTGGCTTTTTGTTTTTTGACAAAGGAGTTTACCGTGCACCCACAGAGCCTGTCAAGTAGCAGTGTGTCCCCATCATAGTTGTGGCATTGACAATGAGTTTCTTTCTGTTTGATTTGCTAGCTGGTTAAATCTGTTGTGTGTAGTGCCTTGGAGCTTACGTGGGTTTTTTTTTTTTTTCCCTCCCTCCATTCAAATTCACTAAGAGCAAGCATGAGGCATATGAGAAGGGAACATGGCTGCAGTTTTTCCTGCTTAAGCTTGCTTTGATCATTTTAAATGACTATACCAGGAGGATTTCGCAGTTGCACAGAAACTGATATTTCTTCCAACATCTTCATCAATTCTACTCTCACCCCGCCGCCTGGTTCTGAGAGGGACTATGATGCCACCTTATTAACACTGCTGGTCGTGGGATCCTACAGCCTTTGTATAATTCCTTTGTTAGCCACGTTCACTGGGAAAAGAAGTAGGTCAATGATTTCTTGGTTGATTCCTTTGTTTGTGAGCATGCTTGGATTTTTATTCAAGGATTTCATTAAGAATCTCTTGGTAGTTTTCTCATTTGTGCTTTATGTTAATTGCAGTATTTCTTGGGTGTATTTATTTAAGATGTGAATGATTCTGTAAAGAATCACATTCACTGTACGTTTTAGGCGTTTCGGCACTCCTGCTGAATGCAATTCAGCATTAACAAGGTTCTTGGTAATGAAATTATCTTACTATCCAAGGCTACTTGATGTTTCAATTTCTGATTAAATGATTAGCATTGTGCAAATTAAAAATATTTCCCCAGAAGTAAATTTGGAATATCACGTCTTTGGTTAATCTCCTAAATTATAACTCCGATGTGCTTTTTTGAAATGTTATCTCCAAGTAAGAAAGAATAATTTTTGAGTTGAAATTATCCAGCTGTGATAATGAAGGGTCATGTTAGGAAATGACCGTATTTTTTCACTGTCATTCACATCGGTGTACCAGTGTGAACTCTTCTAACGAGTATTGTTTTCTGGAATTGTCTGCCTGTTTCCTTGTTAGTGGCAACACTGAGAAACTTCTGGGACAGCAGAAAGCTGTTGTAAAATCAGAATTCAGTTCTTTATACACTGGTATGTTGTGAAAATAGCCGAATTTTAAAATGACTGAATCAGAAGACAATCATTTTATTTTTCCTTTGGGGCAATTTTTTGGCTTTGTGTGTATCCTCTTAAGCATAGAAAATGTTCAGACATGGATTTTCTTTTGCATATTGGCACAGAGCCTTGCAGAGTAGTTTGTACTAAATGCTCATTTATGAGGGTTAACATTAGGAAGACTTCAATACCTAACAATACCTGGCGTCCAGGGTGTAAGCACATTAAAGCATGTGGATGACAGGGACCTATATATGAGCACTGTAGGTTGTAGAGTTGAAGGTTTGGGAATCATGTGCAACTTAGGTGGAATGTGTAATTTTGCCACATTCCATAGCGTCCTTTGGCATTGGCCTTTGTGGTCCTGGGCCACAGAAACCGGTTTCCTTTTTTGGAGGGGGCGGGGAGCGAAAGGGAAAATGTAAACAATGCAAACGGAAGGGACTTGCGCTCTCTGGGAAACAGAGCCTCAACTCAGAGGAATCTAAGTACAAGCCCTCTGGGCTGATGCAGAGAGGAGGGAATTCAGACCCATCCTGGTTCTCCAACAGACGTGGGACCATGTGAGCAGTGGCTGTGCCACCTTGGCCTCGCCTCATCCAAAGTGTCACTGCTGCCTTTCAGAGTGTGCCTGGGTAGGAAGTCAGACTTGGGTCTGGGTCTTAAAGCCAGACCTGTGCCTCTTGTGGCGGCTTGCACGCTGTGCCACATGCCTGCCCCACCTTTTTATTGCCTGAAGAAAATAAGCAAAAAGGTGATGCCTGATATTTGGGGGAGAGATGGTTAATTTGCTCAGCGATTGAGCTCATACAAAGGTGCATGTTGCCTACCCTCAGATTTTTTTTCACGCATGCCAGGAAAGATGTTAGTCCACCTGCCAGCTGTGGGTAGCGAGTAGGAATCATCAGAAGAGCAGAACCGAAGGTTTCCAGGGCTGCTTCCAGGTTGTGAGATGTTTTATGTTTGATGGATGATGTCTGTCATAGATGAGGAAGTGAAGAGACGTGGGATATGTGGGGAAACACTTCAGAAAGCTCATGGACATTTTTGATGATTTTAATTTTTATTATGGGAAAATACACATGGATTTCAAAGGATTGTTTTTGCAAAAAAGACATGAATAAATATGTCCATATTTATTTATTTGAAAGGCGCAGTGACAGAGAGGGAGAAGGATTTATTTCATGTGCTGGTTCGTGTTCTCCAAAAAGCCATTATTTCTGCGCTGGGCCAGGCCAAAACCAGAAGCTTGGAAACTTCATCTGTGTTTCAGTATGGGTTACTGGGGCCCAAGTGCTTGGGCCTTCATCCATTGCCTTCCCAGAAGCTGTAGCAGGGAACTGGATAGGAAGCAGAGCAGTCAGTTCTTGACCCACATGCCGGTATGTGGAATGCTGGCCTTGCAAGTGGCAGTTTCACCTGTTGTGCCTTAAAACCTATCCTTTAATTCCATTGCCCCACAAACTCCTTGGAATGCTCTGTACCACCAGGCCTATCCTCAAGTCCTCCGTTTAATAAGGCAATAATTGTTTAGGCCAGTATTAATTTTGTTCTTTCTCTTCTTTACTTGGGGTCTGTAAGGGACATTCTTGTTATTACCAAGTTGAGTGATTTTCCTTTAGGGATTTGAAAGCCTACAGTTCAGTGGTGATTTGACTTTAAACAAGGTGGGCAGATGTTCTGGCACAGTGGCTGATGTGAAACTGATTCACAAAAAAATCTAAGAAATGAGCAGAATGCTGGTTCTGTGTTGGTAAGCCTACGTTAGTAAATAAACTAGGACATAGTTTTAACTACAGGCTAGAGAAAAGTATAAAAAGCCAATAAAAGTATGGTAGAATGAGTACCCTTTCTCTTAGAGGAAAATCAAGTATTTCAAAATTTCTGAGATTCCCCCCCCCCCTTTTTTTGATTCACTACACTTATTAGGCCTGAATTACATTTTTGCAATGGAGGAACGGAAATAAGCCTTCTAGAGAAACTGTATTTCTAGGCTAATTAAGACGAGTAGAACCAAAGATGTCAGTGCATTAGGGGCAATTTCCAATGGCATGTCAGAGCTGGCTGAGACCTTGGTGATCCCACAGACCATTTGCACGGGATGGTTGCATGCCCTGGATCCTTGTGTTTTAGGAAGATTCTGAGGATGCAGCTGGGCTTCACGGGATTGAGGGCAGTGGCAGAGTAGGTTCCTGGGGCAGCCTGTGCACTCTTTGAATATATGATAAAGCTGGGTCTCTGCATAGAGGGCTTAGCACTGCTAGGCCATAGCTGAGTCAGCACAAATTGTGTCTTGTAGGATCCCACTGCTTGCAACTGTTAGGCTTCTGTCCTTCTCAGGTATCGCCACCAAAGAGTTCATCGTTGGCATATGTAATAACCCTGCATGAGGGAAATGTGGGTATCTTGAGGATACACAACCAGCTGCCATGTTAACAGTCAAAATGGAAGGCATGAGAAATACTGAAGGGCACCATGTGTCCTGGTGACAGATAGCCTTCAAGTGGGGTTTTCTAGGAAGCAAGTGGTCCAGACTGAAGTGGGAAGAGACAAAATATCTAGTGTTGGTGATTCAGGGTGCTCAGCTCAGCAGAGGTGGTGCCATCGTGGGTGAGGCAGGAGCATACACGATACTTGATCGGAGGCTATGAGGCTGTGGAGCCTGTGCCTGTACATGGCAGAGCTTCACAAAGTTCTAGGGAAAATGGAAGTGAAAGATATGCTTGGGCATGATTTTTAAAAATACATCCATGCATCTTTTTGCGTAGTATACATTTTTGTGCATTTTGTGAAGAACCCTCATGTTTTCATGTAAGTCTGTGTGTAGAAATACACAAGTGCCTAGGTGGTTTTATTTTAGAGACATGGGTTTTTTTTTCCCCCGCTCTGGTGTGTTCCTGCATTGCTGGTGGGTCTCATGTTGTGTTGAGCCGGAGGGAAGACATGGAGACTGTTTGTTTCCAGGACAACAGGTTCTCTTGTATTTGAGACAAAGCTGAGGGGAGGGGTGGCTGTTGTGAGCAGTGTGTCCTTTGCTTCCCTGGAAAAGCTCCTGAGCTGCTTGTAACCTGAAGGTCTTTGTGTCTGAGGTCTAGAAAGGAAAGGTATGAATTTAGAATCAGAGAAGTTGCTATTATGCTTGTAAGCTGAACTCAATTTCCAAAATCTGAATAGGTGGTTTATGTGCTGCTGAATTCCATGAAAAATTGGCTCAAGAAAAATGTAAAGTCCAGATTGCCTCAAAATGTGGTTAAGACCCATGGCAGTCACAGGGTCATTGAGTCAGCCAAAGCTGAAATGCCAATTGAATTCCAATATCAATTTTATATGAAAATCTGGGGATGCTGTTAGTGTGTTAAACCATCGTCCGCAGCATCACCATCCCATGGAGGTGCTGGTTCAAATCCTGGTTGCTTTACTTCCAACCCAGCTCCCTGCTAATTCACCCTGGAAAAACAGTGGAAAGTGTCGCCACTCATGCGGGAATCACAGATGAAGCTGCTGGCTTCTGCATGGCTCAGCCTTGTTTCTATCATCTGGGAGTGAACGGGTGTGTGGAAGGCTCTTTTGTCCTCTACCTGTTCCTCTCTGTCACTCTTCCTTTCGAGCATATAAAATCTTTAAAAAGGAGAAAAAGTTAGAAAAATATACTCTATTACATTAAGACTCTGAAGTCATTCCTCATCTTCCCTTTGAAGTTATGTTGAGTTTTGCAGGAGCAAGGTATTAGACCAGTCAGCACAATAGCTTCCCACCAGTGTTGGATAAAACAAGTCTCTAGGATTGTGGGGAAGGTGAGAATTGGAAAGAAGGATGGGGAGTTGACAGAAGCTGGCCAGCAGGAAGGAAGGCCCTGTGTGGACTTGACCTAGTATCAGAAATTTTATCTGGGCACCAGAAGAATGAACAGATGGCTCGGTGTGCTGGACGCCCATGGATCAAGTGAGAGTAACAGCATGTCCTTCCAAGGTTTGACTGTGAACCTGGGCACACTGGTGTAGAATTCAGAAAAGTTTATCCTGATGAATGTTTTCTAGCTGATTTATGTCCATAAACAAGATGGGCATCTTGCCTTTTGCTGGAAATGTAAGGTGAGAAAAGGAATTTGAAGTTTATAATGATTATAAGAGTTGAATGGAAGAAAAACTGATTAGAACATGGTGTTGGGGGTTTCTGGAAGCAGACAATAAAAAAATCTAGTCCAGGCTGGTGGAGGAGTTTTGACAGGGAATAAAAAAGGTGATATTTGTTGTTTTGATGAACTTCCCTCTTGGTTTTCCTTTGGTGCTAGGCTAGGTGTGCCTACTAATGTCTTGCAGGAACATGGATATTGGCTGCTGATCTCCTCCTTGTGGCCTCCAGGGAGTTTGAACGTTACTGTCCATGTCCTGGAAGGAGCTCATTGCTTGTACCCTGTCATGCTCAGATGTAATGCCACCCTTGATGACATGTGCTGCAGTCACCCAACACATTGCAAGTTCTGCTTCCCCAGACTTGACCAACTAGTGGTCAAAAAGATGCATGTGAACACTTAAACTTACATCTATGCTGAACACTGTTGGGCTTTTCCCCTTGCTGTTCCTCAAACAGTATGACTATTTACGTAGCATTTACTAATTTCAGGTGTACAGAAGGTGTGCATGGGTTATATGCATGTCATTTTGTATCAAGGACTTGAGCACCTGCCCATCTTGTTACCAGGGTGGGGAGTGAGCAGTCACACCAATTGTCAGTCTTGGTGTTTGTGACTCTCAGCAGTGCCAAGCACGTAATTGATGCTTAATGTCTGCTGATTCAAGGAGGAAGGGATAGATGTGGGAGACTGATCAAATGTCCTCTGGTGTTGTTCCAGCTGGGAATGCTGCTGCCATCAAGTATGAGGAGAACCCTTCCAAGCCAGCATTTCAGAAGACCTCCTCAGCATCCTTGTACCTGAAGCCCTTGGTCCCCAGAGCTCATGCGCACCTGCTGAAGACTCCGCCCAAAGGTATGAGCAGAAGAGTGGGGCTGAGGCACTAGGAGTTGTGGTTTGGAGGGAGTTGACAGTTATCTGTATGGTATGTTTAATAGTCACTCCTAAAAGTCTCAGGACTATTGTGGTGTGGCAGGTTAAAGCCACCTCCTGGAACACTGGGTTTCCATATTGAAGCTCTGGTTTGAGTCTCAGCTTTTCCACTTGCTATCCAGCTCCCTGATAATATACCTGGGAAAGCTATAGAAGCTGGTCCAAGTGCTTGGGCCCCTGCCATCCATTTGGGATGCCTGAGTATTGTTTCAGCCTCCTGCCTGGCCCAGCCATGACTGTTGCAGCCGTTTAGGAAATAAACCAGAAAGTATAAGATTGGACAGTCTCTCCCCTTCCCTTCACTCTCCTTTCCTCTCCTCTTCCTGCCAATTTTAAATGATTAAAATAAATCTGAAGAAATAAATAGAAGTCTGTTAAGCAAGGTGGTAAATACAGTTTCACATGGAGGGAATAGATTGCTCTTGTTTTGAGTTTTGTGGTTTATCTTAACGTGCTGCGTATGAATCATCAGGCAGAACACATGCATAAGGGAAAATAACTGCTGGAGTTCAATATTCTGAATTCGTGTCCTAGAGTAGTGAAGTGGTAAGCAGTAGGAATGTGTGATTTGCTTCCCATCAGACTAGCTGTCTTATGCTTATGACCGTACTCATGTCTTCATCTTTGCTGCAAGGTGTTCTTTTTTTCCTTCTTTCTTCCCCACCCCTGCTCTTTACCACTAATGCTTCTTGGCATCACTGACTTCAGAATCTCCCTGGCTGTTCTGAATTCTTTCCAGGTTTGCTAACTGTGTGGCATCACAACTTTATCACAAGTCATTTTAGTTTTTGTGCTTAGTGGAAGGATTACTTAACATGAGTAACAACTGTGAGTGAGCAGCCTGACCGATAAAACGAGATACAGCAATAGTGGGTGCTGCCAGCCACTGGTTCACTCCCTGAGTGCCTCCAGCCACACAGGGACAAAGCTGAAGCTAGGAATGCAGTTTCCCACATAGGGGACAGGAACTCAGCTCCTTGAGCCATCACCTCCTGCCTCCCAAGCTGCTCATCATTTACAGAAAGTGGCCGTTGTCCACCTGAGGCATTTCACAGGGATGGTTGTCTCTTTACAAAGACGTGGCCGCTGACCAGGGAAAGCATTCAGAGAAAACCTTTGGACACTAAAGCAGGGCCAAGTAGCAGCTTGGACTCGAGTACCCTGATATGGGATGTGGGATGTGGGTGTCCCGACTGGCTTCTTGACCACTAGTCTAACTGCCAGCCCCGAGATTCACTTACGCTAGAAAGTTGGGGAAGACACAGCAGCGTAGAGGAAGCCTGCCTTCCTGTTACTGGGGTACATAATTCTGGAGCTGATGGTGATTTCATGATTTTTATTACCCACCCAGAAGCAGGAATTCTCGGGCTGAACTGGGCAGATCTCTTGGAAAGTCTCAGTCTGTGTTATGGAGTAGTTTCCTAGGAAGGTGTGACTCTCAGAGCAGCACCTCTTGCTCCCTGTCCATTTCAGCTCGTGCGTTGACTTGAGATAGCTCCTAGTGCAGGTTTACCAGTGTTGTGTTCCTTCTGCTGAACTGAAGCGGAAGTAGGCATGTGCCTAGGGGAGCCCCTCATCAATGTTCCAGAAGGCTCACACTTGTTTGGGATGTTTTGTTTTTTAAAAATTTATTTATTTATTGGAAAGTCAGATATACAGAGAGGAGGAGAGACAGAGAGGAAGATCTTCCATCCAATGATTCACTCCCCAAGTGAGCACAACAGCTGATGCTATGCCGATCCGAAGCCAGGATCTAGGAACTTCTTCCTGGTATCCCACGTGGCTGCAGAGTCCCAAAGCTTTGGGCCGTCCTCGACTGCTTTCCCAGGCCACAAGCAAGGAGCTGGATGGAAAATGCAGTTGCCGGGATTAGAACCGGCGTCCATATGGGATCCCAGCACATTCAAGGTGAGGACTTTAGCTGCTAGGCCACGCCGCCAGGCCCTGCTTGTTTGGGATGTTAAATACATTTCTTAGACATCAAGTGCTGCCTCGTTTGGTACTGGGAGTTGACGATAAAGCCCCTGTGCACACAGTAGCTTCTGAGAATGCAAGCTGCCCAACTTCGCTACAACTCAGAAGTATCCCTGTTGATGTGTGGCACCAGGAACTCCAGTATGCTAAAATGCCTCCCTGTTCAGTTGGTAAGATTTTTGTGTTGCAGAGGTTTTCCCTGAGTGGGGATCAGTGCTTTTCCTGGATGATGACCACATCTTTGGAGCAAGACGATCATCCCTGTGAAAGGTCACAGGTGGATGGTGGCAGCTGTCCCCGTGAGCGCTCGTGAAGGCCTGGACTTCCAGCAGTGGGTTCATGTGCAGGGGGACCACTCCCGACTGCCTCCTAGTGACTTATAGCGCTGTGTCTATTAGCTCTCCCAGTGGCATTAGACGAAAAAGGTTAAGCCCAACTTCCTTCAAGCTTGAATACAAGCCCTTTATTTGGGAAAGCATGCCCTGATGGCCATCGTTAGTGAGTGTGGCTCGTTGGCTCTGTCAGCAGGGGCAAAGTATAAATGCAGGATTTTGATGAAGTTGAACTGCACATTCTGTTCTCAATAAGGTGCTCAGGATGAAATTCCAAGTCCACCCTTGAGTCCCCGCTTCTCACTGCTGCACCCCCTGCTGTGATGATTCTAGCAGAAATGGGTTTTCACCACCTGCAAAGCAGGCCCTGCTTGAACTCTCAGGTCTGGCCTGACCCAGTCTTGTATATTGTGAGCGGTTGAGCAGCTCAGCGGACGGGAGCTCTCTGTACCTGTCTTCCTCTTTTTGTTTGTCTGCCAATAAAATACTGGGAATTGGGGGAGGGGGACACACCATATTTCAGTGGTGTTTCCTAACCAGGCCTTAGAAAAAATTTTTTATGATAAACTAATATAAAACAAATTTCTTATTTTTCTTTTTGGTTTTTTTTTTTACTAGAAAAAGAAAGATCTTCTATCTACTGATTAACTTTTCAAATGCCCACAAAAGCCAAGAATGGGCCACGACCCCAAAAATCCACCTGATTCTGACAATGCAAGTGATAGGGACTGAGGTGTTTTTTTTTTTTTTTTAAGGTTTAGTTATTTATTTGAAAAGCAAAATTACACACAAGACAGATCTTCCTTCCTTCTGTTGGTTTGCTCCCCAAAGAGCTATAATAACTGGAGCTGGGCCTGGCAGAAACTGGAAACCAGGAGGCCCAAGTACTTGGATTGTCTGTTAGAGCCTTCCGTCGTGCATTTGAAGGGAGCTGGATTAGAAATGGAGCAGCCAGGATTCAACCCTGTGCTCACATGGGGTCCTGGCTCTGTCACACGCTGGCCCCGGAACGCGGGTTATTGAGCTGCCACCTGCTGTGTTGCAGCGTGTGTACTAGCTGGAAGCTGGCCTGGAAGCAGCTGCTCCAGTACAGCGCACAGGCAGCCCAAGCAGTGACTAAACTGCTGTGCTAAATACCTGCCCCCAAACTGCTGGTTGCTATACGATATTTCAAATTAAACATTGGTATATATTTTACATATATTTCTCTTATATTTTAGGTCCATCAAGGAAAAATATATTTACAGCTTTTAATGTGGGTGAGTAAACTGCTTTCATTGTGGCTGGGGGAAGATCTTTGTTTTTGTAAAGTTGTATTGTTGTAAGAAGTATTTAAATTCCTGTACAGTGTTTTTTTATTGTTGTGTTTAAATAAAATTATAGATTTGAAGTGTAAATATAACATGAGATAGGAAAGCATGACATAAAAATTTGATGTGCATAATCAACCAGTCCATTGGATATATAAAAGGACGTTTTGTTAATACAGGATAAAATTTAGACTTTAAGAAATAATTTTGTTTTAATGTGGTCTAAATGAAATGGAAAATATGCTTTCCCCAATGTAAGTGTTTAAAATTCACATGACGTAAAATGCTAAATATTCCCAAGATATGGTTTTAACATTTGGTTACAGCTCAATGACTTTAATTTCCTTGTTTTTTGAGGGGACATGTATCAGACATTCTCCTATTTCTTTGAGATAACTACAAGCCCTAATGTTTGAATCACAGGTGAAAATCAAAAAGTTTCTTAAGAAACCATAGATCTTCATAGCATGTATTCACTGCAGATCCCAGACTTACATAGCTGGTCTGGTTTCTCCTGTTGCTTTATATACAGCAGTAGGACAGTCATGCAGTATTGAAGAGCAAACCAGAAGAGAGAAAGGTGCTAATACAACACGGCACTGTGACTTGTCAGGTGTGGAGGATACACTGAGAGTCGAACATGAGCGAGGGCCTGTCTCCATGGTGCTCACAGCACGGTCAAAGAACCGTACACATACATGCAAACCAGTTTCTATGGGCTCTAGGAGAGAAAGTCATATGTCTTTGTGGAAGAGGTCTGGGTGGCAGAACAGGACCTGAGAGTGGAAACCTAGGCAGGTGTCTGGTTTTGTGAGCTGCCTGTGAAAATGAAACAGGGTAGAGAGCAGTTCTGTGTAAGAACGGGGGCTAGCTGGCATCCTGCAGGCTCGCTGCCTTCTTCCACGTTCCATGGCTTAACAGGGCAGGACCTGGGAGCTACTTCAAAATCATTCACCTTTTGTAGGCCTGTGGAGCTGGAGAAGATGCGCTCCTACAGAATGATTTAACGTCCAAGGTCCACAGTAGCACAAGCGTGACTGTGGTGCCTGGCTAGGGAAGTTTTTCTGACCTCAGAAATCAAAAATCACTCTGCTGTGCTTTGGGGGCCTTTTCCTTTAACTTCCCAACGTTGTCTCACACTGAAGAGCCACTATCGTATAGAGTGTTTACGTTAGAACGTGAGGTCATCGCTGTCAGGAGGCTGCATCACAGAGTGACCCCTGTGGAGACCCCAGACCATTTTCCAAAGTGACTGTGCTGTTTCAGATGTCCAGAAACAGTAGGTTGGCAGTAGTTTGCCCACATCCTTGCCAGTACCTGCTTTTGTCTTTGTAGCTTTCCTACAGTTTCCCGAATTCCAAAACCTTAAAAAAAAAAAAAAAGAAAAAAAACCCTTTGGCTCTAGAGGTTTAGAAAGCACCTCTTAGGGTTTTGTTGTTTGTGGTAATTTTTATCCTATTTTGTCACTTTTAAAAAGCCTGTCCCATGTAGTAACATGTGAGTATTTCTCTTGAGTTACCAATCATTGTGTTCAAGTTTGTTAGATTCGCCATTTGCCAAAATGTTATATTCACCAACCACCAGGGAAAGAATAATTCAGCCGAATATATGAAAAGAATTTAGATGGCCTTTATTACAGGGACCCATGGTCGCGGGCTTCCCTTCCCCGTGCAGCAGAAACACAGATGTGAGGGAATGGGCTGCAGAGGAAGAAGAGCGTGGAAGAGACAGAGAAGGGGCTTTTCAAACTCTCCTTGACGCGGAAGCTGAAACAGGGGTCGCCTAGGCCCTTATTAATGGGGGATATAGGTCTGTGCCCTTCATTGGTGTAACGGTGGTTTCACAGCCCGAGGGGCCCGCCAGAATTCTGCCATCCCTTCAGGGTTTGATTGGAGGCAAACTGTACCCTCCTCCGGTTACCGAGGTAGCCATCAGTTTACGTGGTAACATTTGAGTACTTCTGAGTACTAATCATTGTGTACAAATGAACCTATGATGAGCACCTCTGAAATCAGCACTGTCCAAGGCCAGGGAAGTTATTTGTAGCAGGTTCTATAAAATAGTCTCGCTAAATCAGAACAAAGGCATATTTATAGTTCCATCACTCAAGTAACCAACTTGGTTGCCAAAAGCTTTGTGTCTGTGCTACAACCGATAACATAAGGGCGTTGGCTTCATCCGGTCCTCATCCGCAATCGGCATTAACTTTAAAATAATTTGACCAACGTAGTTGTTGACACTCTATCCTTTTACTTTAACATTTAATCAGTTATATTTGAAGGAAACTATACTGATCTCATACAGCAGTGAAGAAGTAAGAGGAAAAATTGGGTATCAGAGTCGTTGGGTGTTGTCCAGTCTTGGTCTTTGTGTTTGCTATTTGTGTCCTGACCTTGGGCTATTTGCTAAGCCTCTCCAGGTCTCTGGTTTCTCGTTTGGCAGCGTGGATGGCCTGGGGAGCCGTTCCCTGCATGGGAGTGTTTTTGACATCATAGAATTGTGGCAGGAGCATCTTGGCTGCTGACACCCGCTGCTGCCGTGGGCGGCCAAGAGGACAGCCCCTTCCGTTGCTGCTGTTCTGTGACTTTGTTTTGGAGATCTTTTCCAGGGTGTTGAATTATTTTAAATCTTTAATGCAAGAAAAGACAACTTTTAAGTCAAGAGGCTCCTTTGTAGGGTCTGTCTGTTGTGATTTATTGAAAGGTTATGATCTTATGAGATTCTAGTCAATGCTGACACCAAATGAAACTTGGCTCACTGTGTTTCAGGAAGATAGCGCTGGACAGAGTGGAGCTGGGGCTTTGTAGTTTTAATGTTTGTAACATTCCTCTTTTATTGAAAAAGGAAAAATACAGTTTTGATTGGTGAATTTGGCACTTCACGGAGGAGGTGAGGGAAGATGGATCATAAGGTAAGCCTTGTTGGGACAGGGGCTCCCATTGTAGCAGCAGGTAGGCCCTTTCTTCAAACACTGAGTGCCAGTGCATTCCAGGCGGATTAGTTTTGGACTCAAAATCTAAGATAATGAGTATTACAAGTACAGACTTAAGCAGAAAAAGATCTGTATGACATCTAACATGTTAACAGAAGTTGAAGCCCGCTGTTTGTCAGAACCGTTAGAAACCAGTTCTGGTGAGCAAAGAACAGACCGAGTCAGCTTCAACAAATGCTCGAAGTAGAGTGCTTTCAAATCAGCGTGAAAAAGATAGTTCTGCAGTAGAAACTCGATGGACACCCTCCCCCAAGAAATCCGCAGGTCAAAGACAATCAAAATCCAGATGACAGGTTTTACAAAAACAAACATCAATCCCAGCATTCATGCTGAATCACAGAGGATTCCAAAAGTACAAAACAGTCTGGAGAAAGGAGAACAAATCTGGAGCCATGAGAATTCCTGCCTTCAGGTGCTGGGACAGAGCCCTGGTAGTTAAAACATCCTGTGGGACCAGCATAAAGGTGGACATACCTAGAAGACAGGACCTGGGCAGCGTGGGAGTAGATGCCCACACAGTCTGTGTGCAGGCCTCCTGCAGGGGTGCCACGCAGAATGGTAAGGGGACTCGCTTGGGTGAATGGTACTGGAAAAATCTATGAGCAGAAGAATGAAACTGGATCTTACACAAGAACCTATATGGAAATACTAAAATACAGGCCCCGAAATGATGACACTTCTGAAAGAAAGCCTGGAGGAGAGCTTCCTGATGCTAGTCCAGGTGCTGCTTGCTTGATGTGACACCCGAAGCACAAACAAAAGCAGAAATAAAATGGGATTTTCTTAAACCTAAAATCTTCTGTAGAGCCAAGGAAGCAGCCAATAGCTTGAAAAAGGTAGTCTGTGGCATGGGAGAAACATATTTGTAAACCTCATTTCTGGTAATGGATTACTTGCCAGAATTGACATCAGGTTCTTGCACACTGCCTGTTTTCCATTCTCAACAGCCAGGATGTGGGAATAACCAAAATGTCAGTTATTGGATGAAAGGACAAAGAAAATGTGATTTTCACATCCCTTGGGATGTATTTTTAAATCCTGCTGCATGCCACAGTGTGGGTGACCCTCGAGGGTGTTCTGTTAGGTGCAGTGAGCCTGACACAGGTCATCCCACCGACGTGCCACATCTGAAATAACTCAAAATCGTAGAAGCAGAGAGTAGTGGTTGTTGGGGATGGGAGGGCGGTTGCCAGGAAGTGGCAAGTTTGTTTTAAACAGGAGCAAAGTTTGTTAGGCAAGGTGAAGAGGTTCTAGAGTTTATTGTACAGCTCCATGCCTGTAGTTAACCATATGGCATACTGGTTGAGAAAGTAAATCTCAAGTTAAACTTCATGAGTTTTATATGTGTATGAATTTATACACCAAAAAAAAAAAAAGTGGGCACATAGAAAAGCCATGTGATGTGGAGGGCTAATAAGCATATAAGAAGTATTTCCCAACTGCTAATTCGTGTGATGTGCTGTGATTCAGACCTTGGGTGTTGGAGATGAGTAAGGATTGGGATGAGTAAAAGCTGTTATGTTGCAAAGTCATGATTTGATTGGTGAGAACATGGTAAAGACCAGCAAGGACAGCAGGGGGACAGGAAAGGTTGTGCATGCCGGAGGAGTGCTCGCCACAGTGATAAAGCTAAACGGTGCTGAGCATTCAGCCTATGGGTTTAAGATGTCCCACAGATCCCATAAGGGGCTTGTTGGCGTTTGACTCCTGGCCTGGCTCACGCACACCCTGGGAGGGTCATAGTGCCTCAGGTGCTTGTGTTTCTGCACCTGCCAGGGAGGCCTGGGTGATGTTCTGGCTCTCGACTTAAGCTGTGGCCCAGTCCCTGTGGCCGTAGGCATTTAAGGCATAAACCAGTGGGTGGTAGCCTTCTGTCTCCCTTCCTCGCTCCCACATTAATAAATACATTTCAAAAATCAAGTATTTAAAAATTATGCTCAAGGTAATTGCTTATGAA